AGTGCAGTGACGGCCTGAAATGATGCGTAGTGCATTCCGTTCCCCAGCAGCTAATTAGAGCCCAGAGGTAATTCAATCTGCCAATCTGCGTCCAGATATTTTCAAACATTCTCGATCTTCGTCATCGTCGCAACTTCAATTTCTCCCCAACACGAACCTAGTAATTTCTTAACTCTTCCTCGCGTGCTTCAATAGCACACCCTCCTAGACAATGAAGCTTGTTCCTACCAAGCCGTCGCAAAATATTGCCGAGGATGCAGTTACCCTTATGCCCGAAGATTCTGAGGATATGGCAAGTCCACGAACCCACTCTATCCCATTGCCTGATGCGTCTAACGCTGCGACATCTTGCGACGAGACGCTATTCACAACACACCAACTCAGTCCGACTAATGGCATAATAGTGGCATGCCTACAACCTCATCACACCTGGCGACCTCGTCATGGCGCATGCCGTGAGGAAAGTTGTCGCTGAAACGAAAACCGGCAGCACGATTTCCGAACGAGTTCACACCGTCCTTGCGATCCAAGTCAAGAGCACTTTCTTCGATCCCATTGTCGGTCAGCTCCAGGTCAGCGGCGTAGTCAAGTCGGAAAATGCCTACGTCAGTCTGGGTCAATATCACACGCTTGACCTCGAGGTCTCTCGCCCCTTCACGTTGAGCAAGCCGCAGGGCTGGGACTCGGTCGCCAAAGACACACTATCAGAGAGTCTGTCAGACGACAAAGATGGCGCCATGGCTGCCGTCGTCATGCAGGAGGGCATCGCCAACATCTGCCTCATCAGCCAATTCCGCACCGTCGTCAAGCAGCGAATCGAAAGCGTCATACCCAAAAAGCGAAGCGCCGCAACCGAAACCTCACAGGGCATGACCCGCTTCTACGAAAAGACGCTGACCGCCCTTCTCCGAACCGTCAACTTTGACACTCCGAGACCCCTGCTCCTCGCTAGTCCTGGGTTCACCGCGGCCGATTTCAAAAAGTACATTGCGGACGAGGGGAGGGACAAATCAGACAAGAAGCTGTCGGGAATCGCTAGGGAGGCGGTCGTCATTCACACAAATTCGGGCCACGTGCACAGCCTCAACGAGGTTCTCAAGAGCCCTGAGATGGGCAACAAGCTCAAGGACTTCAAGTTCACCAAGGAGACCAAACTGATGGATCAGTTTTTCGAACGACTCCGATTAGAGGACGGAAGGGCGTGGTACGGAACAACATCAGTGGCAAAAGCGGTCGCCGAAGGTGCCATCGGCCCTGGGGGCGGCATCCTCATCATGAACAACTCGCTATTCCGCAGTTCGGACATTCCAACGAGGAAAAAGTACGTGGCCATGGTGGACAAGGTCAAAGCGGACGGTGGCGATGTCAGGATTCTCAGCAGTGACCACGAGAGCGGCAAGCGGCTGGACATGCTGGGCAGTGTTGCCGCTATTCTGTCCTACCCTATCCACGACCTGGACGACGATGAGGATGAAGATAGTGCTGCAGCTAGCGGTGAAGCGGGTGGCGAGTCCATCATCTGATTCGACTGCGGATACATATATATGAGTAAATGATACCAAACAAGTGCATCATGAAAAAGAAAGATGCTTATAAATAGGAGGTTCAAAAACATTATAAACTCATAAACTTGTGTAGGTGACTCGGCGCATCTTCAATTTCTTTCTGGTTCGGGCATACAACAAAATAGAAAGAATACTGCCCGATCTTAAGATAGCGATGGAGGGGCTTCAATGGCGGGGTAATGAGCGCTGCCCATTGCCCCTCCCCCTCCTTTTTTGGGCCGGGCCCATGCCCTGACGTAGGTACCTGAACACCCTGGACCGTCGCCTGTGCTCACTAAAACGTCCGTGTGAGACACGATTCGTGATCCAATGAACAGGAGTCTCCGACAGCGCGCAGAAGCTCGGCACAGCAACACCGAACATGCAGCCGACGGGACAGATTGGATGGTGCAAATGGCGGGGGATCACTCCTCATTTTATCCTGGATTGGGATGACTAATGCCCTCATTCGAGAAGACAGACAATGCCCAAATTGCGAATGCAAGTGCTCTCAGCCAGCCCATCTGTATTCTTCACCTCATCTCATCTTCAAAAGCGCAATCTCATTCAACCCATCGCTTTCTCCGCGCACCTTTTCCACAATATGGCGTCCGCACTCACACTTCAGTCCAAGCAGAAGCTGAACAACGGCCTCGAGATTCCCGTGCTTGGCTATGGCGTACGACTCCTTCCCGTTGCGCGATTATCGTGACCTTATTACTGACATTGACATAGCTATGGAAGACGTAAGTACAACTGCAAACACATCAAACCAATTGACATTGCCAACATTGATTGCTAGTGCGCCCGAGCAAGCTGAAGAGGTCACTACTGAAGCTCTCAGAGTCGGCTACCGCCATGTGAGTTCTTACCATACAAGCCTCGATTCTCGTCACCTACTGACCGTCATCAAAGGTCGACTCGGCGGCTTCATACCTGAACGAGGCTGGTGCCGGAGCTGCCATCCGTGGTGTCAAGGATATCCCCCGCTCCGAAGTCTTCTTCACCTCCAAGGTTCGCTACATCAACTACGACGATGCCGAGGATCAGGTCAGGGATACTCTAGAAAAGACCGGCCTCGACTACATTGATCTGATGCTGCTTCACTGCCCCTATGGCGGCTCGGAGGGCCGCAAAGGCGCCTGGAAGGCCCTCGTCGAGGCCCAAGAGGCTGGTCTGGTCAAGTCCATTGGCGTCAGCAACTACGGCGTGCACCACCTGGACGAGCTCGAAACGCATATCAAGGAGCTAGAGGAAGAGCGCGGCGGCAAAGGCAAGGGCGGCGCCATCAACGTCGCTCAGTACGAAATCCATCCCTGGTGCGCACGCAACGACATCGTTCAGTGGCTCCAGAAGCGCAACGTCGCTATCGAGGCTTATAGCCCTCTAGTCAGAGGTGAGAGATGGGGCGACAAGACTCTCAAGGCCTTGGCCGAGAAGTATGGCAAGTCTGAGGCCCAGATCCTGCTGCGCTGGAGCTTGCAGAAGGGTTACATCCCTCTCCCCAAGAGTGTGACGCCCACTCGTATCCTGGATAACACCAAGATTTACGATTTTCAACTGACGGACGAGGACGTCAAAAACTTGGAGACAGACGAGTACTCCCCAGTCTGCTGGGACCCAACTGTTAGCCCCTTGGACGGACCAAAGAGCGGTTGACAGCATCCAGGGTCACTGGCGATGCAGCCTAGCTCAAGCTCTTTCGTTTTTAGCCACACATGTGTTCACTATCATAATCAGAAAGATAGACAAAGCAAAGTACCATGCATATACAAAACAAAATGCGCGTTACCCACAGATGCAACCCTTGAGGCCGCAGCACCCGCCCCTCCAAAGAACGAAAGAAAGTCGTGTGATCGCATTAATAGTCGCCAAAGACCAGCGCCTGGTCGACGAACTCACCTCTTTTCTGAACTAGAATCAATGAGCTGAGCTCAAATCCGGCCATGGGCGTAAGAATGGCCTAGCAATTCTGCTCCGCGCTAGAACTTCTTGTCGTGTTTCTGAGGTAGTCAAGTAAGTGTCCTTTCTGCCCCCACCACTTGAATTTAATATGATAGGTACGTCGAGAAATAAAGTTGGGACTGGCAACGAGTTTCTTGTCAACACCGAGGGAAGGGTCTATCGCTCTCAAAGTCAGTGGCGACTCAAAACCAGGGAATTCTGAGCTCTTCCGCAGTCCCGCAATACCGCATTTGAAGTGTACTGCGGTAGTAAGCGCTGTGTAGACATGGGAGGTCAAAGTCGCCCTTGAGACAGGTTCTCGTCGGCCTAGGATCTAACCTTATGATACATTAAATACTTAGATGAAGCCCCATTAGTATTACTACTCGATGCTAAGAAGGCGACGCACACTTTCCCACAAATTTTCGGATCCGTGGGGACTTACGCTGTGTGATGTCAATCACTCAAATATGTTAGAAGTCTGAAGACTTGTGCGTTCTGAACATCGAGGTTTTGATCACGGCCTTCGTTCATCTCTGACAATCTTACCAGGACAACCAATGACTAATGCTAATGGCTCTCCCAGTACTATTACTAACGCGACATTCACCCCCTGGTACTATTGTTCTGTTTCAAAAGGCATAATGCTCCGATATTGTAACCTAACTAGAGCCAAGTTACTATTTGATCTGGGCAAGTAAATACGGCCATTCCGCAGCCTATCCGCGAGGCACTCGTCTGTGTTGATTGCAAGCCCTGCCAACCCACTACCTCATTGTTCAGAATAAGCTTCTGACTTTTGAGGTGCTTCCATTGAATAGAGTTTGCTTGCAATCTGGGCATTGACAGCTTAGACTACCCCAAAGCTAAGGCATTTGAACCTTAACTGAGCTTGTGCCAAAACCACAGCAACTCCATGCTTGACTACAATGCTTGGGGTGGATTGTTGTTGAAACGAAAGGAGAGCCTAGAGAGAAACACGCGCCTCATCAAGACCCTTTCCAGATCAATTCGTGAGCGATAGTTATGTTGTGAAAACTTCCCTTTCTCTAACCCTTTCGCAGGTGGATATTTATGTGTTGCTGACAAGGGTTGACAACTCAAGGAAGAAGACGGTAACTTGTCCCGATAAGACAAATCAATCAACCTTTCGGATGAATCAGGGAGCTCAAGACTTCAGGGCAGCTCTTTTAATCGGCTAATTTTCGTATTGAGCTAGGTATCCCACTTGAAACCGTTGCGGGGTTATGTTGACTCTTCCGAGTCTAGCTCAAAATCTTCAGCTTGCGATGGATCCGGTGACGACGGCGGACAAGCAAGTTACAACAATACTCAAGCTTTGAGGCGTGCAAAAGGTGTGTTGCAATCTCGGGTCTATGCCGTAGAATATAGTGCATCGGGTCGGTATCCCGTGGTGGTGTGATGGCTTCTGGCCCGCCAGGTGTGGCACGCGCTCTGAGCCTCTGTTGCTTGATGATTCTGGCGAGTCGCGCCAACAGAGCACAGGCGAAAATGAACTCTGAGCTGCGCAAGAGGAAACCGACGGACGATCTCATCTATATCATTCCGCCACTTACCGTTGCGCTGGATGCCGATCTACCCGTGTGGGCAGGACTAATTTCTCCGTAGACTGAACCGACCCACGATAAGGGGCACGTCCACCTTTATTACCAAATGTTCCAACTAGGGGTAGTATCAACTAAATGAAGGCTTACAGACTTATAAGAACAAAAGCACGGGGCTTGGCAACTCTTCTCACGATAGCCAACCGCATCACGCTCTTCTTCGATTTTGGACCTTTGCCAACTAAAGAGACCGGATCTCTCGTCGTTCGTTCCCCGTCATTCTTTTCACTCAACAGTCCTTACAAGATGCGCAACTCAATCATCGCTGCCGCCGCTTTCCTGGCTCTGGGAGCTAGAGCCGACATTTACCCCAACTATGAGTATGGCAACATGTTCTACCTTGGCCCTACCACCGGTGGTCAGTATATCACCAAGGCCACCTACAACATGGAGGTCCCCAACCCGCCCACAAACTGGGTGAAGACCGATGAGACTCAGCGCTGGCTCTCCCTCTGGATCGGTGTTCAGGACAACCCCAACAACGGCGACGTGCTCAACATGAACTTTGTCCAGCCCCTCCTTAACTGGGGACCCGATAACTCCGTCTGGGGCTGCAGCGCTCCCAACACGCAGTGGTGTGCTGCTGCCAGCACTTACCAACCCAGTGGTCAAATTGGCCAGGCTTACGTTCCGGTCAACAAGGAGGCCACACTTGAGTTTGAGAGTATGTTTGCTATGCCCGATTCGATTACGAGATCAATTTGCTTACGGTGTCGAAGTTTCTCTCAATTCCTCCACCGACATGATCGACCAGAAGATCTGGCAGAACGGAGACCTCATCTCTTCCGAGTCTGACTGTACGTTAGGCCCCGTATCAACTTCCAAGACGAATGCTGACAACCCACTACAGCCAAGGGCATGAGACCTGCCGTCTTCTACTCTGGTAACGAGTGCTACGGCGATGGCTGCGGGACTCTGCCGGCTTACAAGTACACCAATATCACCCTTGTTTTCGACAAGGCTGTTACAAACTTGGCCGACATTATCTCCTATACCAACGCTACCCACACAGAATGGCAGACGAAGGACAACGGTATCACATGGACCGTCGACTCCATCACCATCGCGGAGGATAACTTGACCGAATAAGCCGACAATCTGACGCAAATCTTTGAGATTGTTTGTTGTCGAAGGCTTTCAATTCCTGTAGATACATTGTCACCACCGCCAGCCGTATCGGGCTTGGCACATTGTGTTGTAAAACCATTGTAGATATCAAAATGCACATACTCTAGGGCGTCATTACCCGCTAAGCATCTGTACAAAGCGTCATGAAACCACGGAGGCCTCTCAGAATAAGAAGATTTCTAAAGTATCAAGCGACGCGCTGTGAGTAATATATCACATCAGCGTCGCGTCTTGCGTGCAAGAGAATGTGATGTCGAGGGTGTGGAGAATGCCAAGGCCAAGGATACTTGATGATCACGGCGTGGGGCCCGGCTTGGGAAGATGGGGCGCCGGCTTGGCGCAAAGACAGATGGCGCCCCGGCGGAGTTAAGAGGTTGCAAATATGGGAGGGGATCACTTAAACGGATATCCTGTCGCCTGAATTGTGAAGGAATACGTCAATAACTGTGGCTGTCCAATGTTTCTAGTTTCTGGGGTAAGCGTCGCCCGATGGCCAAGCGTCGGAGCTGGGTGTTCCCAATATGGAAACTCAGGTTTCCGACTCCCGGCCGCAACCGGCGGACTTACGATAAGCTCCCACGCCTAATGTAGTGTCCAGGGAACCGGGTATGATCTATTCTTTTTTGAGGCATTTTGCGCGCTTAGACTGCTTAATGCCGGCAGGGCCAACATATATTAGAATACGACGAGTAGCTAGCGTAAAAGACGTAATGACGTTGTCTGCAACTGAAAGACTTCTTCCATTTGAAATCTCATACCCAGAGCGAAGCGTATTTACGCCTAGTGTTCCTGTAAATCCGAGTCTAGCGCACGGTCTCATTTGCCTCACGATGCTCCCATTGTCTTACACGATGATGATCCACAATGATGCAGAAGTACCTTTTCCACGTTTTAGAAAGGCAATTAATTTCCAGGCGCTGAAGAAATACATATAAAATCCACCATGCTATTTACCTGATCGGAAAACATTCCTAGCTTGTCAACTGGTTCCAAAACATTATAAAGGCCAACACCCTTGAGTGACCACTATCAACAACTGCTCTACCTTTCAATCAAAAACCCACCGTGTCGGTTTTCAGATATCATCTACACAATGGCTCCCAAGACTCTTCGATTTGCCAAAGATCAGCCGGAAGGCTTTGTGAATCGCATCGAGAAAGTTGCCATCGTCGGTGTAAGTACCTCTTGAACCAAATCGCGACCCCCCCGCAAATCACAAGAAAAGAGACTGACAGTTCGAAGGCTGCTGGTACCATGGGAAAGTTTGTAACTCGGGAGCTATTGAAAGGTGGAAAGCACTCGGTCACCGCAATTACCCGACATGACAGCGATTCCAAATTACCCAACGGCGTTATTGCTGCCAAGGTCAACTACGACGACGAGAGCACGATTGTGGAGGCTCTAAGGGGACAGCAATACTTGATCATCACAATGAAGTCCACCGTCGGCCAGGAGACCCAAAATAAGCTTGTACGGGCTGCGGCCAAAGCTGGCGTCCCTTACGTCATGCCGAACGCGTGGGGTCCTGATCCGAAGAATGAAGACATGATGAAAGATGCTCTTCTCGGTTCTTCTTTTCAAGGAGCCGTCAAAGAGATTGAGCGCCTTGGGGTAAGCGAATGGATCATCATGTCTTGTGGATTTTGGTACGAGTTCAGCGTGGCCGGCTCGCCTAATCGATATGGATTCGACGTCAAAAACAAGTCACTCACCCTATTCGATGAGGGCGATGTTAAGATTAATACTTCCACCTGGTCTCAGTGTGGCCGCGGACTGGCCGCTTTCTTGAGCTTCAAGTGGCTGCCTGATGACAAGGATGATCAATCTCCCAATATTCAGAACTGGGCCAACGATGTGTTCTACGTCTCGAGCTTCTTGGTATCTCAAAAAGATATGTTCGAAAGCATGAAGAGGGTCACGAAGACAACAAATGAGGACTGGATCATCAACCATGAGAGCTCGAAAAAGAGGTGGGAAGCTGGCTACGAGGCACTGAGATCAGGGGACAGAAATGGGTTCTCGCGAATGATGTACTCGCGCATTTTCTTCTCCGCGACTGACGGTGACGTCGAGCACAAGCACGGTTTGGCCAATATGGACTTGAACCTCCCGGTGGAGAATCTAGATCAGGTCACTGCAGAGGCAGTAAAGATGTGCATCTCAGGAGAACTGGATTCCTACTAAAGTAGATTGCTGTGGAGATGAGTCTTATTCACAAAGCGCACTCGACTTTCTCTTGACGGTATTTGATTGTGATTGACGTTGGAAGTAGCACTGTACCTATGCCGCAGTGTAGCAATGACAACGAAGGCAGAAAAAAAAGAAGAATCAAAGAACCACTGAATGGACACTTCCGGCTTGGACCCTTAAACCTTGTGTGAAGCGCCAATTTTGGAAGTCAGCCAATAGACAGTCATAATCACACCATCCTTGAGTGTTGTTGTAACCTCTTGACAAGCAGTAAAACACATCTCAGGTAATTTTTATCTTGACAGAAATCGAGCCCTTCTTAGTTTGTACGACGATGAGATCATGGTCGTAAGAGATATCTTCGACTGTGGTTTCAAACAAATTGGATCTCGGTATGACGCGGAGAGCCATCATGGCCACCATATGATAAACTTCGCAGTATGCCAAGCTGAGAGGCGCCGTTAGCATTGAGAATTGAGAGCCTTGGTTTCTGAACAAGCACTTACTTCTCACCAATACATGAGCGACTACCTTTTCCGAACGCAAGGAGGAACTTCTCCAGCTTGTAATTCGGCTTGCCGTCGATTAACCAACGCTCAGGAATGAACTCCCCGGGGTTTGGGAAGAGTTCCTCGTTCCAGTGGTTGATCATTGATGTCATGCCAACGGGAGTTCCTCTGGGGATAAGCCATTCCTTTTTACCGTCACGGGTCCTGTAAACCAAGTCCTCCTCACGGGCAATCCTGGCAGATCTGTGCGACACACCAGGCATCATGCGGAGAGACTCGTGGATGACTGCCCACAGGTAAGGCTTTTGCTCGAGCTCTGTCCATTTCAGGTTCGATGGGTTGAGGCCATGTAACTGCTCCATAAGGCGAGCATAGGTCTGGGGCTGGGCGAGAAGGTAGTATGTCACGACAGTCAGAGTAGCCTGTGTCACAATAGTTAGCAACATGGCACGTAACGGGAAGGAACCCATTCTCACAGCAGTGGTCTCGGTACCGGCGAGTAAGAAGTTGAAGCCCTCTCCAGAAAGTCGGTACAATGATTTCTCTTCTTCGGGAAGTGTCTTAGATTCCATGAGATCAGCAAAAACTCTTCCATTTTCCGGGTTGCTCAGAGCTGCCTTGATATACCCGGGGATGACAACATTCATCTGTCTCATGACAGACTTGATGTCTTCACCTAAGTAATCAGCCATCATTGGCATGACCTGAGCCATTTTACGACCAAGAGCGTTGTGTCTCATCATATAAGCACTTTTGAAGAAGGACTTCACCCAAGTAGCAAAGTTGGGCTCCCATCCTTCCTGAGAGATGAAGCCCATGGGTTCTCCAAAAGCATACTGGGAAATGATATCCGCAGTAAAACAATTGAATGCCTCCTTCACGTCGAATGGCTCCTTCCCCGCTGAGCGGAGCATTTTGTCTGCCGTGAGCTGGGCAAATTCCTGCACTTCGCCCTCAAGTTTGAGCATTTGCTGGCGCGAGAAGAACTTTGACAAAGCGCCCTTGCGCATTCGATGAACCTCATGATTGACGGTGGAGAAGCCGGTAACCGAGACAGGGCCTGCGCCGCCGGTGTTGAGTTGATGTTGCCACTTGTCGCGGACACGACCGGGACCAGCATATATTTCATCGGTGAAGTAGGGATCAGAAACATGAAGTTCATCCGGGTTTATTCTGACAATGGGCCCTGTGATTCATGTTGGTCAGCAGCGAATTATGTCTCAGACTAGGGTTCTCGTCGAATCTACCATAATGCTCGTGCATCCGTGCAATGACCTTGCCATATCTGCCAAGCAGCCACCAGTCATAGTACGCTTCGTACAGGTAAGATGCAGCTGCGATCTTTGGACCAGGAAAGTGCGCTAGCGGGTGGAATGTCGAGATATTGTACAAGGCTATGGCGATGTGATAAGCGATATAAAGAACAATAAAGTAGGCGACGACATTGAGACTCAGGGCAGCCTTGAGACCATCTACGATGGCATTGGAGGCCATTTCGGACACAAATCGATGGACTGAGTGTGCACAAGAGGGCAGTGTTATCGACGCAACCTCTGCTAAGCGCAAGTTTATGTGACAGCTACCTTTCCAATGGATATATAAATACTGCATACATGTTTTTGCCTGCACCACCCAGGCAGTGCAGCTCTAATCATCTTGGCCCACCAGTCATTGCAACATTGATAAAAGGCGTGCGCTCACTGGCTGAAAGAGCAGCTTCTGCGACCCGTCTGGAAATCAAGACAAAAGCACGATCACAACGAGCCCCTGAGAGAAGGAGCGACCTTGACGAGAGGAGCCAACTAGCGTTTACTAGTGCAGCGAGCCTGCGGGGGCGACCCACAATTCCGAGATGGGAAATCTAGTGCCCGTTGAAGAATCCTAAATGAGCCAACAGCACCGACCGTTGACGCATATACCGTGACTAGGCCAGCCCCTCGAAGTGCAGCAGGCGACACACTCTGAACCGGGGCTCTTAGTGGCATTAGAGGAGAAAAGTGATCGTAAGCAAGATCATTCCCGTATACCTTACATTAGTCTTGATGGAGACGACATGATCTAGATCCTTCACCCTCCAGTCGTGGGAGGAAGAAAACGTGATTCGCGGTCGCGCGACGGAGTACAGCTTTATCCTTGAAGATACGCTTGCCAGGACTCAGGGTTGTCAGGAGCCCAGGACATCACCATGGGACGCACAGAGATACCGCCTGAATGCAACGTGACCAGCACACGGCACTAAGACGAATCTTTCGAAGATCTTCAAGCGCACAGGGAGCCCTAATGGAACGAACCGGGGGTAGATAATGGAGACACATCCACTACCTCTCCACTTTAGGAACTTTGTGACACTTGGTTCACCATCCAGTCGGGGTCAGCATTTTTCTCTCGCTGAATATGAACAGGCGATGTTTGTCAAAAAAAACTTGTGGACACCCGCATATGGACCGTTTTATCATGTGTTCAAGTCTGAGAGGATATTTCTACGATGAAAAACACCGGGAAACACTCACTCAAAGCCCCCGCGATCAAGAGACGCCTGCTCCAAATTGATGGCCAACTCGAGTCTGATGGATGGATCTTGTCCATGATGGAGAGTCATGGTTCCCGCACGACGATCGATTCGTCAAGTGATAAAGATTTCTACACTGAGTGACTGAATGCTTGCCATCTCACTACTTCTGATTAGCGAAACATGGCTATCGAGCATCACTGCTTCAGCATGTGTTCAAGTCTAAGACAGCCTCCCTTCGGAAAACTGATCGTGTGCAGGTCCCGACTGCCGAGATGTGATTCTTCATTAGAAATGATCTGTGAACCTTCATTCGAGTACCGAAGGTTTTCACTTCGATTTGAGGAGAAGATCGACTGCTTGGAACATTTTTCCGGACACGTAGTCATTTGTGAGCACCCTATTGGGCGGCCTCGTGCTAATCCCAGCCCGCTTCTCTTTGCCCAATCCGACTATAACACAACTTGGTTATGAACATGAACTTTTGACGTTCTGGCGAGACTGAGCGGAGTGAGTCCATGGTCACCGGCGACAGATAAGGGCTAAAACCGAAGAGAGACGCTGCAGGATTGAGAATACAGGGGTCAGCGGATGCCAAGCATTCGTGATTTTTGTTACCCATGGTTGGGAAACGGCGAGCTCCAGGAGCTCAGAGAATCAACAGGCTTGAAGGAGTATTCATCTGTACGTATTCCATATACCTCCTGAAATTCATCAAGAATTCAAGCGAGACATTACCACCCGAAAGTTCAGAGGAGCAGTATCCCTGATCGAACTCCAAAGTATCACTATTTCGTTCCCGCTTCTCTATGCCTCTATTTTAGACGCCAATTCTCACACGCATGTAAGAGGAGAAGGAGATGAGGAACTTCGTACTTCGTCAAATCCTTGTCAGTTGAGTTTATGCCGTGAGCGCCTCCTAAGTGCCGGCACAGAAAGTCCCACGACTTGCGGAGCGTCATGGTTAATGAGTACCCAGAAACAGAAACCACTACTTCAACTTCAGTGCAGTCATATTTCAGAATCAGTAATGGGTCTCCGCGAGTCACGGCTTGGCAAACCCTGGGAACGGTGGTCCACAGGAGGACGAGGCAAAGTCCTGGTGACACCAGATGGTGCACCCGGAACCAGGGCTTTAAAGCTCGGCAACCGAAAACATGTCTCCCGGCTTCAGCTAAATCGAAAAGCCGGAGATCTTCATCCGGATTTGCCTACTACAGAGCGCTGAAATTAATGATCAAATTCAACCTAGCTAGGGCCACAAAATATCGCCGACTATGAGTGGCTGAGCGTCATAACTTTAACTACTGCGACCCCATGAGCTAGAACTACCACTCTACGTCAATATATCTCCTTCTAGTGTATCTGTTGTCCATGCTTCCCATTTATAAAGTACTCTGCGGAACTTGGCTTACAATCATCACGCATATCCCGTTCATCGACTCGTTGAAACCGAAACCCCGATCGAATACTGTCCTCGATGGCTACACCAGCGACGCTGGCGTCGCCGCCACCCATGTATATCCCGATGACGACTAGCGCAAGAGACTCGCTCATAGCTATCTGCTTTCTATGGGCAGTTTTTGCAGCGGTAGTGTTTGCTCGACTCTGGGGCAGATATCGTGGAATTGGCGTTGGCGGAGATGATATCTTGGCTTTGGCTGCTTGCGTGAGTTACGACTGATAGATGATTGCGTCTCGTACTTTGTCTAATAGAAATCACAGCTTCTATCAGGCAGTACAATAGGCATGAATGCAGCAGGTATATAATGGCATGGCTTTCCAGTTTGGAAGCATGGGATGCTGACTGAGACCATAGTTTTTACGTCTGGTGTCGGATACAACTTCGACCCTGACTCTGACGTGTATCCAAAATGTAAGTGAATGCTCTAAGGCGACTGGTGTGCCATTGAAAAAGTAGTCAACAACCCAGAAGGTGTTATTGGACTTGCGATCGTCACTTTGAATGTTCAGGCGCTGACCATGTTGGACAGTGCTCAATAACATGCAGTTTATCTTGAAGGTAATCTACTTCGGCAAAGGAACTTTCTCCCAAACTCTTCATTCTACGAACAATACCTGATTAAAAGTGTGCTAGACGACTTTTGCTTTCACGCTTATCTACCTATGGGCACTGGCGTCCTTGAAGCTCAGTCAGCTCTGGTTCTATCATAGAGCCTTTTCTGTTCAACTCAAGTGGTGGATCTTCTTTATTGGCAGCATTGTCATTGCATGGGCTTTGGTCTTCACCTTTGTCTTCATCTTCCTCTGTGATCCGATTTCCCAACAATGGACAGTACAGCGAATCGGTCACTGCATGGACCAGATCCTGGTACTCAAGTGCATTATCATGACAAACGTTGTCACCGACCTGTTCATTGTGATTCTACCTATCTGGACTGTCTGGCAATTACAAATGCGGAAAACCGAAAAGCTTGCTGTCATTGCCTGCTTTGCTCTCGGCTTAGCGTGAGTCAACCCACCTGACCCCTATCAATACTGCTATCGATGGCTCGGTGAACTGACGTAGCGAAGATGCTGTGTGATTGGCATCGTTCGATTCTGGCAGATCTACGTCATCGATCTTATTGGCAATTTGACTGGCACTTCCTTGACTACATTCATGCTCTGCACGGTTGAGCTCATGCTTGCCGGTCTTTGCATCAATATTCCTATGCTTCGCCCCTTCTACCTCAGGTGGAGAGCCAAGTACAAGTCCTCCTCGCTCGAAAACTCCAATAGCCAAAGCGCATTCAACAGGGGATCGCGGAGTGGGCAGATCAAGGTGCAACCCAAGCCTGGTCAGTCCACAGCATGGATAGAACTGGTTAGTTGTCAATTTTTCCAAAAAGCCGCTTATAAGATGCTGGGAGAGATTTACTGACTTCTCAAGAATGACAAGGAGCACGAGACGGGCAGCAATGACGATGGCGATTCCCAACGAAAACTGACCAGAGAGCAAACCAGTACTGCGATACACGTACATACCAACTGGAAGATTACACGGGAATGAAGAAGAGACAAAATAAGTGCCGGAGAAGGCCTGGTTGAGTACTACACTGGGCCAGATCTGGGTGCTGGGTTGAGGGCGAGAATCATGAGGATATCTAAGTTGGAATTGTGCCGATGATAGATAATGTATTTTGCGCAAGACGGACTTCAAGGAGCAGGTCCATTGCTTATACTAGAATCACAGAAAGAAGAGTTCGAATTCGACTGAATTCAGATTGCCGATAAGTAAAGGAGAGTGGAGAGTTGAAATACCATCGTGTCTCCGAGCTTTGGCTAATGTAATCGCGTGTGCATGTCTGCTCTCACGGGCCTTTCTTGAGCCCTCTACACCAAGCCTCAGCTTGGCTGAGTGCTTAATCTTGCTACCTGCTCTTGTCTACTTTCGCTGCTCACGTCGAAGTAGGCTAATTGTGCCATTAGACTTACGGAATTACGAAGAAATCAGAGTGCGATGACAAAACTTACGCTTCTCACCAAATACGGTTGTTCTAATACCCTTACGCGGTTCATCGTAAGTCCCCGGGATAACACGATGAATTGTACATCTAAGCAGGGTGAGTTCAGGACAAAGAAAACGTTGACGAGGACATGAATTGGTTATGTCCAACTCACCTATTATCCCACATGGCCACGCTGCCCACTTCCCACTTCCACCGAACAGCATGATCGTCGGCAGAGTGGATGTGGTACGAGAAAAAGTCCAAAAGTTTGTCAGACTCGTACTTCTTGAGCTCAGCGAAGGCGGTTACAAAGCCTGGATTGACATTCAGCGCCTTGAGACCGGAGACTGGATGGGTCCTAACAGCCGGATGGTGTGAATCGATGGGAGGCCGGTTTGGACCAGTACCCCACAGGTCCAAGATTGTGTCGTATTGTAGCCGTGAGGTGTGTACTGCGTGCAGTCCGTCAACGAACTTTTTCATGGCGTCGCTGAGAGCGTCATAAAGTCCATATTGGGAGACCCAGGCAGTGTCACCGCCGACGTCGGGGTGCTCCTCCATACGCAACAAGGAGTAGGATGGAGGGTTGATCTCAAAGGATGTGTCGGCGTGGAAGTCGCCAGAGGGCCAAGGGGTGTACTTGAGTATTTCACGGTGATCCTCGCGGCTGCCCTTGATAACAACGTACTTCAAGTCCTTCTGAGCGGGATGACGGTCGAGAGCGCCGTAATGCTCAAAGAGTTTAACCTGACCATCAGTTGTCAGGTCCTGGCTCCGAAAGAAGACAACCCCGCGCTCAGTAACAAGAAGTGCAAGTTCGTCCAGTTGTTGTGTAGAGAGCTGTGATAACTGCACACTTTCCAATACTGTGCCGATTGACTCTGTCAAATCAAACCTCTTCGCAGCTGAGAGGAGGGCTTTCTTCTCAGGATCGGCGAAGGATGCCCTATCCTTCTCCGGAAATTTCTCCTCTCGAACTGGCTCAGGAGGTACATGATCTCTTATCTTGGGATGGAAGTGCGGATGCAAGCAGATCGGGAAGCCTGAGTCTGGGGAGACATGCTGTCTGGACTCTAAATTCGACATAGTGAATTCATATGTCCCTGAAAGAAGACTGAAACTGAAATTAGCTGGATGTCGTGTCCGAGAGATATATTGATTGAAGCACAAGGCCTCGTTACTTCAACTACGAGAACAACATTTCAATCTCCCCTCATTCTGTGCTACCAAGCAAGTCAACATCTGAATATTGCGCGATCTGACCTCGAAATGAGACGCGTCAGGCTTTCTCCTGATTTGCGGGCGACAAAAAGGTGTCATACACTAAAATGACATATAGGTTGGCCTTCTTCCGCGCTTTCTAAGTTGCGAACTAGACATTTCTATGACTGCATGTTCCTGCAGTCCGAAAGTGCCTGGAAAAAGTGGTTGGTGCTCTCAATATTTAACAGCAAATTTCCTATGTCTAAGAGTCCGACCAAAAGAAAGGCGGCCCATTCATCTAAGGAGACTTCCTCGCTTTTGGGAATTTCATCGGCAAATTGAGCTTGTATAGAAAGATGTATAGCCATTTCAAGAGACCGCTTGATTTGGAGACAGCGACTTTCTAAGGTAAGGCACCTGTGTCGGAACACGGCCGACGCTCTGGGGCGCGGTGGCAATGCGCATGCCGCGATAGTTGGAAAGTCGGCCGCTCCCGAGTAAATTGACCGTCCGATTGGCACCAAGGACACTCGCAATCCCGAGAGCCGATTGCGTCAGTATCTTACCTAAGCCTAGCTGCGAAGAGGGTGGATGCTTAAATGTGAGTTTGGAGCATTCTAAGGGGTCACCGTCGATGGCGTGAGCAATCCAGACGATGGCATCAACGAGAGTGGGTCATCGTATACGTCGAGACGGCAGACGGCCGAGTGTCGGCCCAGAAGACATGTGGCAACTTGAACACGAACCGACAGATTGGCTCTGCGAAGCGTGGTATTTATTCAGTTCTCCACGGAAATGCTGCGTTCATGACAACATTCTGTTCCGTCAGAGCAAGAAGTCCGAGTTTAACAGCTGCAACATAATTATGTGGGACGCGGAACAGCAAGACGAGACCTGAAAAGGTAAGCCGGGATCAATGAGGGGCAGGGTACAATTTTTTTCTTTCGATAATGCCTTTTGGCATTGCCGAGTATCCGTAGTTGTTCGAGAATATACAAAGGTTCAAGTTGCCATGTTGAGTTTCTCCGACGCTTTGCTTTCGAGTCGACGTCTGCGAAACCAACACGGCCTACCACATTCTCTCAGCTCTTCACAATGGTAGCCACAATAGACGAAAAGCAAGTCAAGATGGTGGTCAAGAGCCCAGAAAGTCAGAGTGATGGCGAAAATCCCAATATTGACTGGAGCCCGGAGGAAGAACGACAATTGGTGCGAAAGTAAGTTTGTCAATAGTCATACGCTCTTTGGCTCCAGATAATTGAAGCTAATTGTGAGACTCACAGAATTGATTTGATTATCATGCCGCTGTTGATCCTCGCTTTCTTTGCTCTACAGCTCGACCGTGGCAACATGTACGGAGACTACCTAAGCATAATCAACCTAAATTGTAATAATGTCTGACCAAACGCAGTGGCAATGCCTTGACGGACTATTTCCTCAAAGATGTTGGTATCACACAGAACCAATTCAATGTTGGCCAACAGTTGTTATCTGCAGGCATCGTGGTTCTGGAAGTCAGTAGATGGAACTGGAACACCGTACCTTATCTCAGGCATTCAGCTGATATGACCCGTAGATACCGAGCAACCTAGTTCTTTACCGTATTGGACCAACGCTCTGGATTGGAGGACAGATCGTGGCCTGGTAACACTTCCTCAGCTTTTGTAGGAAGACTGACATAGCCTTTCAGTGATACTAACAAGTGGACAGGGGATTGGTTGCGACTTTTCAAGCATTTCAAAAAGGGCTGGGTGCTTACATGGTGACTCGAATCCTCCTTGGGTAAGCCCGGATAGCTTCATTAAGAAGTATCATCTGAAGAAACTGACAATTCATACTCGTAGCCTTTGCGAGGCAGGGTTCATTCCTGCAGCTCTTTTCACGATGACGCGCTGGTACAAGAGAGATGAGACGAGCAAAAGGTTCTCGTGGTTCTTCATTGGCAACATGTTAGCTGCCGCATGCTCTGGCCTCATAGCGTACGGGATGTAAGTCGATCACAAACAATGAGTTCTCGTCGATCTCGAGCAAGAGCTGATAAAGTCTGCACCCTAAGCTTGCACATGAGAGGCATTGCTGGACTTGCTGGATGGCAGTGGCTCTTTCTCGTAAGTTGAGTTTGGCCTACAGGGGAAAGATGCTACCTTGGTCGGTAACAAAGAGGGGAATTTGGAGAAAGACTAACGACTGAGTGCTAGCTCGAGGGAATTTTCACGATTTTGGTCGGTATCGCCTTTTTCGCTTGCTTTCCTAACCAAGTCAACAACCCAGTATCCATACTCGGCTTTCGCTATTTCTCAGAACGGGAAGCAGAGATCTTGTATAAGAGAGTCATGATCGATGACCCGTCCAAGGCTCAGTCGAAGCGCTCGGTTAGCTGGTCAGAGCTGAGATCAGCGGTACGTGTTGGACTCCTTAATACCACAGGCGTCACCGACTTTTCGCTCACGTGGAGTTAGTTAACGAACTGGAGACTCATTCCCCATGTTATCTTCACTATTGCTGCCCTGGCACCATCTTCTACTCTGTCATCCTATGCGCCCTCTCTTGTGAACTCGATGGGGTTTGAGAGATTGGAGTCCAATGCCATGGTTTCAGTCGGTGCTTGGCTCTTGATTCCAATCAACCTCTTATGGGGGTTTGCTGCGTAAGCGCTTCTGTGCCAAGGTGATCACCATCAAAACAAAACAGAATGACTGATTTTCGCAGCGATAAAACGAGAGTCCGTGGTCCATGGGTGTTCCTAGGCTTATTCATATTCTGGGGCTTCAATGTTAGTTGATGTTTTATCGTGTGCTTCTTCTTGGCGAAGCTCCCAGCTAATAATACACAGCTTGGCAACTATCTGCTCATAGATGCCGGCCGCGACGCGAGATTTGCCATGTTGACTCTGTCAACGGCATTCTCGTTTCCTTGGCGTAGGTTCAAATTCCCGTCTTTAAATGGCGAATCACGTAACTGACGCACACTGCAGATCCTGTCAATGGCGCTTGGGTCTCGGCTAACGCTGAGTCCGCCGGTGAACGTTCTATCACCATGGCCATCCTCATTATGGCTGCCAACTGTTCAGGTATTGTTGGTAAGCAGCTGTTCAGAGAAGAGGATGCACCGAAGTATCGCAATGGATGGACAGTTATAACAGGCCTTACTACTGCCGCTGCGGCTTGTGGTATTTGGGCCAATGTCCAGTACTATATTCTCAATAAGCGCAAGCTGAATCGGACAGGGCTCTCTTATCAGTATTAATGGGTATGCTGGCGAGAGAGTGGGGTGGCATGGTTTCGACTTCTGAGTAAGAAGGGGCTCAGGGGCGTGGTCAGTGAATGATGGATATTGCGTAGGTAATTCGTCAATGCCA